TAGTGATTTTTCCATCATGGCATCATTTGCTCTTATTCCTGATACACAAATCAGCATGTGTTAATGTTCAGCTAGTTTAAACAGTCCAAAAACTTATTTAAAGGTAGCACTTTAGTACCAAAATTAGCAGGATTAAAATAAGTAGNCATCCACAGTATTAAAATGAGTAGAGATTTTCTCAAGTTTTACAATACCTTGTGAGATAACATCTCTATTGAAATGAAATTTCACATCAACATGTTTTGATATATTATGTAAAACAGGATTCCTATTCAAATAAATGGCACATTGGCTATCAGAATACAAAACATCTTTAACAAAACCAAATTCATTTAAGAGTCCTTTTAGTCAAATTCCTTTTTTTATAGCATCCGTTACAGCTATATATTCAGCTTTTGTTGAAGATAATGCAACATTTTTTTGTAATTGTGATTTCCAACTTATGCAAGAATTATACAAAATATACACATAGGCAAAAGTGGATTTCCTATTGTCTATGTCGCCTGCATAGTCAGAATCCGTGTAACCCCTCAAGATAACACTTTCNAATCCGTGTAACCCCTCAAGATAACACTTTCGGATTGTTTCTTATATTGAATTCTCAAGTCACAAGTTCCCTTAATATATCTAAGAAGTCATTTTTTAGCTTTCCAATGAGCTTCACCTGGATTTTACATATATCTTAGGTCTAGAACAAACCATTAGATACATAACATACCCAACTGCATTAGAATATGACACTCTTGCCATTCTTTTGAACTCATCTTCAGATTTAGGACATTGATCATTTGAAAGTTTAAAATGATTTGCTAAAGGTAAACTCACACTTTTAGCATCAAACATAGAAAAATTTTCCAACAATTTCAAAACATGAGATTTTTTACAGAGACTAAGCGTGCATTCCTTTATATTCCTTTTAATTTCAATACCCAAAATTTTCCTAACAGGACCTAAGTCCTTCATTTCAAATTTAGATTTTAATTTTTTTTTTTAATTAACTCTATTTTTTTTTATGTCATGACTAGTCAAGAGTATATCATCAACATAAAGAAGAAGATGGAGTGAATTCACCACCATTTCCTTTGTGATAAAGACAGGTATCAAAATTACTTCTTTTAAAACCAAGTCCAAGCACAAAGGTATCAAATTTCATGTACAATTGTTTTGGAGCTTGTTTTAAACCATATAAGGATTTTTTATGA